TTGTGTGGATATCCTTCATTGTGAAGGTTGTGCTCAAAATTCTCTCTTGTTGCACACATGAAGCTGAAGCAATTTTTTGTTGAGATGCCTTCAACTTCTCCTATCCCCAGGCTCTCCTTAGTGGGCGAGAGTACAACTGAACCATGTAACCTCCCTTAGTGATGCTGTTGTGTTTAATATTAGCAAAGCCTCATGAAAGGAAACATCTAGGGTATCAGTGAAGGCAATGAGAAAACACAAAATTGTAACATGCTCCCTGAGGCTTTTGTGTGGACTGAAAAAGAGAATATCTTACATTTTAATAGAGACTTAAAGTACGGTTGCCAGACAAAATATAAATTCAAAAAAACAAACCCACTCCCGTCGAGTCAATTAGACTTATGGCAACCCCTCCTTGGGTTTCTGAGGCAGCATCTCTACGGAAGTTGATTGTCCAAATTCCTTCTGAGGAGTGGCTGGTAGATTTGAACCCCCAGCCTTCTGTTTAGCAGTGAAATGCCTTAGACACTACAGCACCAGCGCTCCAATTAAATTGGAATTTCAGATAAATAATAAATACTTATTTTAAGTCAATGTGTCCCATTTAGGAGCTCTGGTAGCGTAGTGCCTAAGGCACTTGACTGCTAACCAGAAGGCTGGTGGCTCAAACCCACCAGCCACTCCTGAGAAGAAAGGTTGGGCAATCTGCTTCCATAATGATACTGCCTTGGAAACCCAAGGAGGTGTCACTATGAGTCAGGTCTTACTTGACGGCACATAACAACAACAACAACATGTCCCATTTGGTGTCCTAAATTTTTATGCATTAAATTTGGAAGTTCTACCTTAAAACAAACAAACAAAAAACACCCAAACCCACTGCCATCAAGTAAATTCCAACTCATAGCAACCCTCATTGGGTTTCCGAGGCAGTAAATCTTTACAGAAGTAGGTTGCCCAGTCTTCCCTCAACAGAGTGACTGGTGGGTTTGAACCACCAACCTTCTGGTTAACACTCAAATGCCTTAGGCTTTGTGCCACCAGAGCTCCTAATCCTGCCTTAGAACCTAGCAAGCTCAAAGTGTGGTGCCTTGATCAGCAACAACTACATTACCTAAAAATGCAGAATTTCTAGCCCCACTTCAGACTTACTGAATTGGAATCTACATTTTAACAAGATCCACAAAAGTTTAGCCTGCAAATTACTGTTGGAGAAGCAATTGTTTTAGAATTTACAATCCTTTTTCATAGATACTATCTCCAAGATCTTCACACTGTCCCAGGAGGTTGGAAACAGAAGGGGAAAGAAGGAAAAGGGTTTCTGGACCACCTAGTCTTGTCAGAATGAAGATGCAAATGTAATAGGATCATTGGGCACAGCACAATTTCCACCCATCAAGGGATAGAATCTCCTTCTACATCACCTCCTGTTTCCAGGTCGGATTAGCTACAGAGAAGAGTGAGATCATCTGGAGCGGGTGGGAGTGGGTGAGGTGTGGGGATGAGTTCATATCCCGAGGGACACATGCCCTTGACCATTACCTCAACACAGCAGCTTTCACCCTGTGGCCGCCTCAGCTGCCACATTCTGTGTATCCTGGTATCTCAATTTCCAGTCAGCATTGATTTAAACAGGTGCCATTAATTTAATAACAGCTTTTTTGGAAAATAAGGTAATCACTGGAGTAAATGAACATACCCACTGTAAGTGTCATTTTGATTCCAGAAATGTTAAAATGCAAAATAAGTATGTTTCTGAATCAAGAAAATATGGTAAAGTGCTGCAGAGTAAGACTCAGAAAATGATCAGGAAAAATGTGGGTGATGGAAGAAAAGCCTGATCACATACTTAGAGACAAAGTGGCTGCAGGAGTCTGACAAACAAAACAAAAGACAGGAAGAAATACCTGGTTTATTGGTGACCTCATCCCTCAGACTTAAGTTTATAAACCTCAGACCATGACACATCTCTTTTACCAAAAAAAAAAAAAAAAAAAAAAAAAAAAAAAACCTCACTGCCATCGAGTCAAATCTGACTCATAGTGATCCCAGCCTTGGGTTTCCGAGGTGGTATCTCTACAGAAGTAGAGTGCCCAATCGTCCTTCCCAGGAGTGGCTGGTGGGTTGGAACTGCCAGCCTTTTTGGTTAGCAGTCAAATGCCTTAGGCACTACACCAAATATCTCTGTTATATATCCATTAAGACTTTTTGATAGACTTTTTAAAAATAAAAGTTCTAGTTATTTTGTTTCACATAGGTGATAAGAATAACCTAAATATATTTTCTTTTCTACAAGCATTCCTAAACATTTAAAAAGACCTATCAGCTGAAAACCCATACTTAAAAAGGATAAAAAAAACAAAACAGTGGCATTACAAATGGGTTCTTCAAATACAAAATAATTCAGTGAAATTTCTTTAAATAAAGAACTTCTTACATTCATTTAGGAATGTGTTTCTAGGTCTATTAATATTTGAATGAAAAGAAAGCTTCAATTAAATATAATTCAAGACACCATTATTGGTTAGCTACTTACAATGCTATTAAAAATAGTTATATTAAGATTCACTTTCAGTGGAATAATAATTTTTAAAAAAGGAACTAAATGAAAACATGAAATTATAAATTTTCAATGGGGATATAATTTAAGTAAAAAATATTTGATAACTTCATCTTTTTTAGCAACATATTTATTACATAATAATAGATACACTGTATTGGGTGATCTTATAGAATATTTCTGCAAATAATTTTATTGCATTAACCTACTCATTTCCCTCACCTACATAAAATTCTCCAATGGTTTCCCATTGATCTCAGGATAAAACTCAATTGTGATCCATGAATACTGATCTAGGGGCTTCTCCATCTATATGATCTTTTCCCAAACCTAAATTCCAGGTGTCTCATACTTGAAGCTTCCGACCCACTGTATTCTAGCCAGTCACTGGGCCTTTGCATGTATTGAACCCACTGCTATTTTATGGCACTTAATTCTTAGAGCCTTGCATAGTGCCTGGGACAGAAGGGCTGCTTAATAATACTATTGATTGACTGATAGAATGAGAAAACTGAAGTAGACCCACTAAATCTTTTATAGAATTGAGGATCCATTTTATTCATTTCTCCTAATCTAGGTTATAAATAAATAAATAAATAAATAAATAAAACTAGTCGCCAGTCAAGTCAATTCCAACTCATGACGATTCTATGTGTTATAAAGTAGACATACTCTGTAGGGTTTTCTGGACTGTAGTCTTTACGGAAGCTAATCACCAGGTCTTTCTTTCCTCCTCAGGGCCGCTGGGTGGCCATATGTTGACATCATTTGTTTAGAGGCAGAGTACTCCAGGAAAAGAATGCAGGGCTAGGATTTGAGAGATTCTCAGCTTTCACCTTTGTTAGTTGGGTAATCTTAGACTAATCATTTAACCTAACCAAAGGTGAACTTGGTTAAACCATCCTGATCTTCTTGAGCTCTAATTTCAATGGTCCTTATTTTCTTCATTCATCTTCTTGGTAGAGTGTGGTACCCTCCCTCATACTCCCACCCTCTAAAATTCTTTATATTTGCTTTTGTAATTAAAAATACATATACAATAATACCCAGTAACCTGTGCAACTATCCATGAGAATGCAGTTCAAAACACAGCCTTCATTTTAGCCAGGGCTGAAAGGTAAACACACATGGACAATGGTGAAGCCTGCGACATCAACCGCTTTATTCATTAGGCCATTTGGAAATCCTTTACATGGTCTTTCTGTGTAGTCAATAGGAAAAGACACATTAGAAGTTAATTCACAGGTGAATTTGCTGGCCAAAATCTCCTTCCTAAATGGCCAGACACAGGTAACACACTGTATTTTTGAATGTCATATTGCTAATATTATGAGTTTCCATCTATACATACATAATGTAAAAGTTGGATATTGATATTTTAGGACAACTTGAAATGATGACAACTTTTTCTGTAGCTGTCTTATTTTTACCTTGAGAAGCTCTTCCTGGGTTAATAATATCATTACCAATAGATACTAAAAACAAAACAACCAACTCCACAGTGTAAGAAATCCATCTAATAAACTCACTCACACCCCTTACTTACCTTTTGTGGTTTCTTATGAACTTAAGGTCCACATACTGCCTTGTTCCCTTTTGATCACAGCTGCTTCATATGATTGAAATCTCCCAGTAAGACCCCAGAATAGACTTCCCTTTTAACTTCTGCACCTGCTGGCCAATCCCCAAAGATTTCTTGAGTCCAATTTACCAGCTGCTCTACCCATCTGCAACCCTACTGATGTGGCTCAGGCAAACTCCCTGCCTGGTGTCCTGCCCTGCCTGCCAACTCCCAACCAGTTCCCCCATCCAACTTCTCCACCCTGTGAAAACCAGGGCAAGCCCATTTCTAGCTTGCATCAAGAATTGCAGAAATTGCATATCACCTGAAGGAAGAAAAACAGAGCCATCTCTCATCAGGAGATTCCAATGGGACTTCCCCAAGGCACAGGGCCCATTAGAACTCATCCCAGTGGTCCCACAGTCATTTCTTTTACCCTTCCAACGAACAATTCAGCCAATTTTTTTTCCTCTGAGGGTGGAGAATATTATAGCTGAATGTTCATTTACTGCTTTAACTTGTGATGGGGGAAAAAAAGCTGTGCAAATTTAGCTATGGATAAATATAGCTACACTATCTTAGAGTCATTAAGTGAACATAAAAGAGCTCTTTGAGATCTCAGAGTGTCTGTAACCTGGCATCTGTCACCATCCCTCTGTCCTCATCCACAGGCGAAGCATGCAGAACGAGGATTCCATGCTTAATGGCACCTTGAGAGTACAGCAAGTGCTCCCAGGTGCCCATCAAACCTGTCACTTTGAACAGCTGTTGCTAAGTGACGACTTGTCCCTCCACCCTCCATTGCTTTTTCCATAAACAGGTCTGCAGTTGTGCCAGGAGACTCTTCCAAGGCTACATGTGAAATGGCCCTGTCCATCTGAACAGTGAGCCCCTCCTCACCTGGCTTTGCTGTGCCCGTTCCAGCATTCCTCTTCATTTGACGTGCCCGCTGTCACGCTCTCATCCTTACAGATGGTGTAGGGTAAAGCTGACCAGACCTTTTTAGAGAGCTTCAGTTTCTCTTTTATGTCTGTGACCTGACCAAGAAACCAAGGAAAGGGAGTGAATACTCTCCTTAAGGTAGTTGTCCAGTTCTACAAATGGACATAACATGGGTGAACATTAAACAACCTGTGGTATGATGAACATAAACTCTTTATCAATTTTAAGAGATAGACACATGCTATGAGATTTATTGCCAGGAAACTGTCTCTTCTGCCCAGTGTCTGATTACCCGATAAGCAAGGTAAGCATGGGCTGGTGCTTATTTACTAACTAATTTGTAGCAAACAATTTCATATTTTTTCACCATATCAAATATTCTGCTTCTAGGTATGGCTGGCATCTGCCTCTCTTCCAACCCCATAGCCCCTTCTTACAGAATTAAAAGCTTCTTTTCAAATTTAAAATCCCTGACAGAAAAAGAGTACCCAGTAAGCAAGGTCAGCACAGGTTTAGTTGTGTTTACTTACTAATCTGTAGTGAACCATTTCACATGGGTATAAACATGTTCACTACAGATTAATAAGTAAGCACAAGTAAACTCATGCTGACCTTGCTTATTGAGTAATCTGCCCCTGCTTCCACCCCCCTCAATCTTCCTCTAGCTCCTGGAGGACAGTTCTCAGGTAATTGGCTTTTTGTTTTCCATCTTTTCTTCGCTCCCATCCATTGAATTAAAAACTCATGAACTAAAGTGGCTTCGGGTCCCTCTCCCACTGGGAGTCTTTATCTCAAACAGCCTAAACATATTATTTTGCATTCATTTGCTTGGCTATCAGATAAACGCACCTAAACAATGCACCAAGAGATACAACACTTTTCCCAGTGGCCTACTTGCATCTGCAAGAAATAAATATTGTCACTAATTCACATGCTGGTAACTTCTGCTCTTGTGCAATTGACAAGCTTGGACAGCACACATTTAGATTGCGAGCAGTAAACCAAACTCAATTAAACATCTCAGGCACCAGAAAGAGAAGAGTCATTCTTTTAAATTTGTTTTTTAAATAATTTTATTTATGTTGTTATTGTTGAGAATATACATAGCAAAACATACGCCAATTCAACAGTTTCTAAATGGACCATTCAGTGACATTGATTATGTTCTTCCAGTTGTGTAGCCATTCTCACCCCCCCTTTTCTGAATTGTTCTCCCCCATGAACATAAATTCACTGCCCTCTAAGGTAACTAGCTAAACTTCCAAGTTGCTCTTGTAAATTTGATCGCTTGTAGATAGTTCTTAAGAGACCATAATGCTCAAGGCAGGCATTTTTAATTAATTAAGCTACACTGTTGTGTGGTTTAGGAGCCCTGGTGGTGCAGGGTTGAAGCACTCTGCTGCAAAATGAAAGGTCCAGGGTTTAAACTCATCAGCCATCCCAAGGAAAAAAGATGTAGCAATCTGCTTCCATAAAGGTTACAGCTTTGGAAATCCAATAGGTCAATTAGATTCTGTCCTACAAGGTCGCTATGAATAGGACTCACCTCCATGGCAAAGGATATTATCTGAAGTATGAAGACTTCAGGGGATAGTTGTGGTTTAAGGTTTAAAGTTTAGGGCAATGGTTTTAGGGGTTCATAGAACCTTCATGGCTCCAGGGGTGTCTGGAGTCCATGAAAATTTGAAAATCTGTTCTACATTTTCTCACTTTTGATTAGAAATCTATGGAATCTTTGATCAAAATGTGCAGTAATGGTAGTCAGGCATCATCCAATTCTGGTCTAATGATGAAGGAGGCAATTGTTCATGGAGGCAATTAGTCACACATCCAGATCCTCCTCCTATTCTTGACTCTTCTTCCTTTTTCATTCCAGGCAAACAAAGACCAATTGTTGTGCCTTAGATGGTCATCTGCAAGCTTTTAAGACCCCAGGCAATATGCAACAAACTATGAGGTAGAACAAAGGCACTAAACATATTATTAGGCCAATAACTGGGATATCTTATAAAACCATGGCCTTAACCTCTGGTAGAGTAGTGCCTAAGGCATTTGACTGCTAACCAGAAGGCTGGCAGTTCAAACCCATCAGCCACTCCATGGAAGGAAGACTGGACGATATGCTTCCATAAAGATTTATGGCCTTGGAAACTCAAAGGGGGTCACTATGAGTCGGAACCCACTCGATGGCAGTGAATTTGGTTTTTTTGATTTGGTAAACCTTTAAAAAAAGGAAAGAAAATTTGAGTTGTACAGAAGCAGCCTCAGTTGGTGTAGGGTACTCTTTTTGTTGCTGTTGTTGTTGTTGTTTTCCTTTTTTTGGTTATTGTTATAAATATATCTCTATCAGACAACTTTTGCCAGTTCAACATTTTACAAGTATAAGACTTACTGATAGCAATTACAATAATTGGCTGTGAAACCATACCTTTAATCAATAAAGTATTTTCAAAGTATTCTGTTCATTGTGCATGGAGGATAGATTTGAGAAAAATTTCCAAACATCTTTCATCAGGTTTACAAGTGAGCATAAAGATATAAAAGACCTCTGACAGTTTGTTTTGTTCCCAGTATGCTTAGGAGTTTCAGAATTTTGGCCCTTGCTTATCTGTGATTCTGATGACGACAGAGACCTCAGTAATGCAAAATGTCTGTTCATCCATAAAGAGCTGAAGGTGATCAGAATGAGAAAGCTGAAAACCTGGTACACATTTTCCAAGAGGGTGGTATTTCTTTTGCTTTAGAGTGTGAATGAACAACAAAGAGTAATGACATTCTCTGTACTACTTTATACAGAGTAAATGTTAAGGATGGGTTGAAACTTACACTCTCTGAATCCCAGTTCCAGTTGACCAGGGTCCCCAAGCTGCTTGGCTGGCCCTCCTTCCAGCCAATCAGACTGCATAAGGGGGTGTATAGTGAAAGAGCCAGTCTATTTCCTTCTTGCCATTCCTGACATAAATGTGTGTGCAAGTTATGTAATTTTTTAAAAAGGTACTATGGCTATTTCTATCCACTGCATGTATATTTAGGTACACTGTTTCTCAATCATTATTTTTTTAAAAAATCTCTTTCAAACACCAACTAACAAATGTTGAAAGAATGACAGAGTTATAAAAAGCACCATTCTGAAGTCATCCTTGTAATAATTGATCCCAGTGAGAATCATCAGTGGATACTAAACTCGTTGGGTAAAAGTTAGATGAGGAACACCATATTTACATAATCTCAAAGTATCTCGTTACACACTACTTATTAATTACAAATGAAAAATTGGTAATTTTACAGTTCAGAAATTTGCCTGACCCCCACCTTAACCAATTGATCAAGGTTGTTATTACCAATAATGGGACAAATTGGTAGTGTGTGTCTCTTGATGGGATGTACCAAGAAGGACATAACATGGCTCTTGAAGCCAAGAATGCATAGCTTGAATCTAATCATGGGGGCACATGAGACAAACCCAAACTCAAGGACATTCTGAAAACAACTGGCTTGTATTCTTCACAAATGTCAGTTCTAAAAGACAAAGAAAGGCTAGAGAACTCTTCCAGGCTAAGAAGAAAAAGAGACATGTCACCCAAATGCAGTGCATGATTCCAGATTTTATTCTGGATTGGAAAAAAATAATTTGGACAAAGGAGATTATTGAGATAATGTATTATGTCAGTGTTCAAGTTCCTGAATTTAATATTGTACTGTGGTTACTCAGGAGAATGTCCTCATGCTTAGGTGCTATGTAGAAAAAAGACATCTTAATGTCTATAACTTGCTCTCAACTGGTCTAGTAATAATACCAACACTAATAAATACATATGTTGTTGTTGTTGTTATATGCCATCAAGTCAGACCCGACTCACAGCAACCCCTCCTTGGGTTTCTGAGGTGGTATCACTGCAGAAGTAGATTGCCCAACCTTCCTTCCAAGGGGTGGCTGGTGGGTTTGAACTGCCAGCCTTCTGGTTAACAGTCAGATGTCTTATGTACTACACTACCAGAGCTCCTAATAAATACATATATGTATAGAAAAAGAGAGAGAAAATTACAGTGGTAAATTATTAATGGTGAATCTAGGTGGAGGGTATATATGATTTGGTGATATTACTTTTGGAATTTTTTTTTGATGTATGAATTTTTTGGAAATAAAAATGTAAAAAAATAAAATTCCTCACATTTCATTTTTTCTGCCTGGTGCCCACATATGGGTGTCCCTTACATGCAGCCTACTGTTGTTGTTATATGCCGTAGAGTCAGCCCCGACTCATAGCGACCCCTCCTTGGGTTTCCGAGGCAGTTATCACTACGGAAGTAGGATTGCCCAACCTTCCTTCTGAGGAGTGGCTGGTGGGTTTGAACCGCCAGCCTTCTGGTTAGCAGTCAAGTGCCTTAGGCACTATGCTACCAGAGCTCCTACTAAACCAGTCATTTTCACTCTACTTGAACACAAATCCCAGAGAAAGACATAGGAGTTACATACAAGCCCCAGAGAAAGAAAGAGGTAGTATGTATTCATATCTAGGTCAGAAAATGATCACCTTCTTTAGGAATGCAATAGTGTAAGGTTTATTCTGTCCCTTAACAAAGTACACCAAGGATGAGCCTTTGCTTTTCTGCTTCTTACATACTGTAACCATACCTGCATGCTCTGGGATTCTGAATCAGATAGACATATATATTTTGGGACACAGGGAAAGAATAAAATTGCATGATGTCTCACAGGTATCTCATCTTCTAATATTTGCAAAATTTTAACTGTGTATGAGATATGCTTCTCATTTTTAAAAATCACACTCAAACATTGTCTCCTTCAAGGGACATTCCCTGACCCCAAACGAGATCTAGATTCAACTTTCTGTGTTCCATAGCACCTTTCATGATTCTAAGTACTGAGCACACCAAAGAAGTAACTGGCTTACTTTTGAGATTCCCTTTTAGGTCACATGCTCCTTAATGGCAAGGACAGTATCTAATTTATCTTTATGCCCACTACTTAGTACAGGTAGAGTGAACGCCTATTGCAGTTTTCCTGGGAATAAGAGATTCTAGGAAGTTGAACTTTCAGGGCTATAACCAGGATGTTGTTGGTGTTGTTAAG